TTCTCAAGTGAGAGTACTTGAGTTCTTTTCCTGTCCATACTTCTTTGGGCAATTTGAACTTCAAGGGTACTGACGGCCCTCTATTAATAAAATATGCTGCTGTGTTCACAGCATCAGCCCAGAATGTCTTTGGTAGTCCAAAATGATCCTCATGCTTCTTGCTCGCTCATTCAATGTTCTGTTCATTCTTTCTGCAATACCATTTTGTCTTGCCTTACTAAGAATTGTTCTTATTAATCTAATTCCCTCAGCTGCACAAAATGTTATAAATTTCGATTCGTTGTACTCTCTTCCATTGTCAGACCTCAGACATTTGATCTTCAAGCCGGTCTAATTTTCAACTTCAGCTTTCCACTTCTTGAAGGTGGTAAACACATCTGACTTGTGTTTCAGAAAGTAAACTCATACCTTCCTGCTAAAGTCATCAATGAAGGTGACGTAGTACCTTGATCCACCAAGTGATGAAATTGGAGATGGTCCCCAGACGTCTGTATGGACCATTTCCAATGCACTTTCTTCGATTCTCTAGAAGCTTTTGTGAAACTAACTCGTTTCTGTTTGTCTATAACACAGCTCTCACAAAGACCCATATCAATAGATTTTCAGCCTTCTAAATCTCCTTTCGCAGTCAGCATCTTCATTCCTTTGACGTTCATATGTCCAAGTCTATTGTGCCATAGACTTGAATTGGAAGCACTCTCAGCAGTAGCAGTCATGTTTATACACTCTGCAGTAGTGTATAAGGTTTCGGATTTTGTGCCACGTGCAACAACCATGGCGCCCTTCACAATCTTCCACGAACTCTTTCCAAACTCTGCTGCATAGCCTGTGCTATCCAACTGACCAAAAGAGATCAGGTTCTTCTTGAGACCAGAAATGAATCTGACATCTTGTAAAGTCCACTGATTTCCTGCTGGAGTTTGTATGGAGACATCTCCCTTCCCTTCAATCTCCAAGGTTTTGTTGTCGGCAAGATACACCTTCCCGAAATTTCCTGATTTCAAATTTCGAAACAATTCCTTACTTGGAGACGAATGGAACGATGCACCTGAATCTAAAATCTACGAATCAGCTAGGCTGTCCACACTAAGGATTAAAACGTCCTCAGTATCTTCTGTTGTTATTTAGAATCATCATCATCTTTAGATTTATGATTCTGCTTCTTCTTCAGTTTTGTACAATCTGTTCGAAAGTGTCCTTTTCCCCCACAGCTCCAACACATTACGTTGGGTTTGTTTGGAGATTTTTCTCGATCCTTTGATTTTGATCGCTCATGTTTGTTTGAGCTCTTTGATTTACTTCTTTCCCTTCGATCAACACTGAGAGCATTGCCTGAGGAATCTACAGTTTCCCGTTTGCGAATACTTTTACTGAGAACTACATCTCGAATTTCATCAAACTTCAGTTTATCAGATCCTCGAGAATTGCTGATTACGGCAACAACAGTATCCCATGACTCGGGTAAAGATGACATCAAAATCAACGCTTTAATTTTATCTTCGAAATTAATTTCCACCGAACTTAGTTGACTTACAATCATATTGAATTCATTTATATGATCAGTAACAGATCCACCTTCAGACATCTGTAGATTGAACAATCTCCGCATCAAATGCACCTTGTTCATAGCCGACGGTTTTTCATACATATTTGACAGCGCCTTCAATAAATCTAACGTTGTCTTCTCCTTGATGATGTTGAACGCCACGTTTCTGGATAGTGTCAACCGGATCAGCCCCAAGTCTTGTCGATCTTGAGCTTCCACTGTTCCGTGGTCATGGTATCCGGCTTCACCCCCAACAAGGGTTCGTGAAGATCTTTCTGGTACAAATAATCTTCAATTTGCATCTTCCATAAATCGAAATCGGATCCATCGAACTTCTCAATTCTAATCTTTGAACTTTCCATCTTCACAGATCGTGGTGAATTTCGCCTAGCTCTAATACCAGTTGTTAGGATCGCACAACAACGCACACACTCGATCTAGATGAACACAAAGAACAGGATAGAGAAAATTGCAAGGAGAATTCTGGCTAAAAGAATTTGTATTGATGAGTATGTATAAGAGAGAATACAGAGAATAAAAAGTACATTTTCAAACCTCTATCGGACGGGATATATATATAGTTCAGTTTACTATATATAGCTTTACCAGATTTAACCATATACTATATATAGCTATTTACTATATATAGCTTTATCGGATATAGCTTTACCAAATATAGCTTTACCGGATATAACCGTTGACCAAGCTATAGTTTTACCGGTATTTTAAGTTTATTTCAACAAAGTCTACTACCTGGCGTGGCTCGCCAATCTCGTTCTGGTAAAGAAGGAGGAGGGTGGAGGAAGTGTGTGGACTTCACCGAGCTTGCCCTAAATACTGTTATCCCTTATATCCCTTACCCATGATAGATAAACTCGTTGATTCCACTGTCGGATATTCAATCTTCTATATAAAGCTTCTCATCAAATAGCAATGGAAGAAGACGATTCTTTCATTACCGAAGTAGGAACTTTCTGTTATACCACCATGCTCTTGGGCCTAAAAAATGCGAGAGACACTTACCAGAGGCTAGTGAGCAAGCTACAAATCGGTAAAAATGTGGAAGTGTATGTGGATGATATGTTAGTAAAAAGCCGAACTATCCAACAACTTGCTTTTGATCTTCGGGAGGTCTTAGAGATATTGAGTCGCATACGTATCTCAGTGAGTGAATGAGTGTTATCGAAGATAAACTTATAGGTAGAGGCTTAGTACCTTACGGATTATTTGCAGCCGTTTTCCCAATCCTTTTCCAAAGCTTGTTACTAAACAAAAATGACGTATAGCATAATGCTTCTTATTCATCAGACAAGAGCAAACTTCCCCACTCCCACTTCACTAATTGGAAGAAAAAGGATGATCCATTGTGATTCCTTGGTGTGGAGAGATCTCTGCCATCAAGAGAGCTCGTAGGCCTTATTCTACAGATCAAAGAGCGACGTAATTCCTCATTGATCCGAAGTAGTCTTTTAGTATAGAACAGAGGCATTCTGAGCCGACTACTATGACTACATGCGCATCTAATGCAGTGGGTTGGAGATAGAGGTGGGTTAATCTAACCTTTGCATCGATGTTTGGCATGAGACTTTTTTCAGGCCGATTCTTGTCTATTCCGAATCAAGTATAAGTTCAATAGTTTCCTCCCGTATGAGATCTAAGAGGATTTATATCAATCAGGAACTGAACTCCCAGATTGAATAAGGTAAAACTCTTTCACCTATTTATTCTTTCACTTATCTTTCTCCTTCAAAAGAAAGTGTTTCAAGTCAAAACTCAACTCAAGATTCATTCATCTGAACTACTCTCCCTATCCTTTATTCCTTGGCTGAGATTACCTAGTCGAGTCAACTCAGCTTCGCTCTTCCACTCTAAATTTCTTGGTTCTTTCTCCTTCACTTGAACCTCTATTCCCTTCAGTTCGTGTTCATTATTCTTTCACTGTGAACAAAGACTCAACTCAAGATTCATTCGACTGAATAGGAAGTCAAGACTCAACTCAACAAGATTCATTCTCCTTTTCCTATTTATTCTTTCACTTTGAACTCGGTTCAAATTTGTTCTTTCTCCTGAAACTTAAAGTAAAGACTCCTTATTCATTCTCCTTCCCTTGAACCTCTATTCCCTGAGCTACTTCACCTTTAAGATCGGTAAATAAAAGAAAAAGATCAAGTCTAAACCTTGAACCTTTTCCTATCATTTACAGTCGGTAAAAGAAAAGAGATTCATTCGACTTAACTCCTTTACCTATATTACACTGAAAGAAAGAAAGGAGAGGAAAGACAAAACATTAATTCGACTGAACCTGATTTCACTTTATCTTCGTCTTCGCTCCTGGACTATTACTTCTGAACCTGATTTCACTCGGTAAATAGTAGTCTTTCTCCTGAACTCAATCACCTATTCTCGTCGTGTTCTTCATTTTCCTTTTTATTCTTGAACTGTAAATGAAGAAAATGAAAGAAAAATCTCCTGTAAAGACTCAAGATTAATTCTCCTTCACTCTGTAACCTTTACAGTCTCACATATTCTCTCCTCTCCTCTCCCCTTCTTGTCTCGTAGCTTCTCTCCTCGCTTTTGTTCAATTATAAATAAATAACCATTTTGATGGAGATACAAATTGAGATCGTAGAAACATGAGCTTGTGATATAGCTACACCTAATTCCAAACTGATTAATGCAAGAACTATAAATAAAGGACCAGGATCTCCCATGAAGTAGAAAATATTATTCATACATAGCAGAGTCCAAGCGAACCCATTTAAAATCTTTACGAAACTATGATCAGCCATCATAATTAGCAAATAAACGTATTCCTAAGCTTAATGCGCAAAAACAATGAGAGATTACTAAAAAAAAGGTGCTAATGGTAGTGAGACTCCCGTGGGTAACGAGAAACTTAAAAAAAGAAGACCATTTCATTGAAATCCCATAGTAATACCAATAAAAATAGAAAATGAGAGACCCAAAGTAATGAGAAAATGACTTGTAACTCTGAAGCTATAAGGTATCATACCCTGAGGATTACGAAATAACGAAAAAGTAAAAGTGACCGAGATGCGAGGGAAAAACTTTTGTTTAACATTTTCGGAAAGACCACTTATTTGTTCGTTTACCAGATTCGGCATGAAATCATAAATAAGCTCTACCAAGGATTGCCAAGCATTTGGTACTGAGTTTCCTCCTCCATTTTTAGTAACAAAATGAACCAGAAGTGGACCAAACGGAGAGTTAGCAACATAAACAAAGATGGATTTATGAATGAGAAATAAAAATTTTCTATATTCATAGGAATCAACGGGAGAATGGTAAATTGCTAGATGCTATTCTCTCTAAAATCTCATATGCTTCATTGTATGTCTTTGATAAAATAGTTCCATTGGCAGAAGCATCAACTACTTGTTTAGTAGCAATATTTAATCCATTATAGAAAGTCTCCATTTGTATACAATGAGGTAGTCCATGGTGAGGACACTTTCTAAGCATCTCCTTAAATCTTTCCCAAGCTTCGCTTAATGTCTCTCATCTTCAAACTGTTGAAAAGCAACAATCTCATTTCTGAACCATGCATTTCTAGTGGGTGGAAAGTACTTGATCAAAAGTTTCTCTGCTAGACTATTCCAAAAATCAATTGTTCTCAGTGCTAAGGTATTCAACCATGATTTAGCACCATCCCTCAAAGAATAAGGGAATAAGCTCAATCTAATCACGTCTTTATCCACTCCCTAAAATCGAAATGAGTCACTAACTCCCAAAAATGACTTTAGATGTAGGTGGGGATCTTCCGACGGTAGTCCATGAAATTGTCCAATGGTTTGCAACATTTGAAACATCACAGGTTAGCTCAAACGTGGTTGCTTGTATTTCGGGTCTAATGATGCACAGATTTAGCTCTTCCATAGCTGGGTGTGCATATGCTCGGATCGCTCTTTCTCTGTCATCTGCTAAATAAATGGCATTGGCAGTAATTCTCTCTTGATTAGCCATCATCGCTAGATTTTCAAACTCCCGATTCAACTGGGCTCCAAGTTCTATTTGTTGTATATTATGTTCTGTCATTTTCTTTTTCTCCTTCAACCTTCGTCTAAATGTTCTCTCTATTTCAGGATCCAAAATAAATTTCAAACCCGTAGGTGGGTTCATACACATGATTTTGCAGCAGTAAACTCAATTCTTCAGCAGTAAATACAACAATAGAAAACTCAACTTACTATGGCTTCTTGTTGGCTCCAGCCCACAAAAGTCTACAAGTAAAATAACCAAATTAGTTTCCCCGACAACGGCGCCAAAAACTTGATCGCTTGTGAATGTATATAATAAAATGATGTAAAATTCACAATAATAAGTGCAAGTATACACTATCACAAGTAGTAAGTAATAAGTAAATTATCGATTCCACAGGAAACTTATCTTTTTGGTTAATTTTATCGCTGGAATTTAAATGAGTTTTGGGTAACATTCAAATGGGTGTTGGTGATTTTAACTACTTAAACAAAACTAAAACAAAGTGCCACTGCTGTCGAAAAACAGAAAATGATGAGAAAATCAATTATAATGTGGAAGGTTCGGCTAAGAGAGATTAAATAGATAAGTTGTTGAGTTTTGTGGTAGATTTTAGTTTCTTTTAATAGATTCCCAATCATTGTAATTTCTATTAACAAGACTGTAGAAGAATAATTATTTCTAACCTTTCTATTACCCTTCAAGTCTCTTTGCTATGGAACTAGAGTATTAAAGAGGATTTCATTGCTCCCTCTCTTCTCCTGAATAAGAGAACAACTATGTATGTAAAGTAGTTAATTAAACACACGTGTAAATCATTAACAACAACTCTTTAATAAACTAAAATCATACCATCAACATACTTAAACTTTATAAAACTCTCTCGCCTACCCTATAAAGTTTAGCTCTCCATACAAACTGAATTAAACAGAGGAATCCGCATCTTCATCATGTAAAATTGATGGAATAAGAAAAGAGAATAAGGAAATAGAGAGTTATCCCGGTTTGTTGTTGTTCGTCAATGGAAGTTTCCTCCTCTTGAGCTCTCACGTCCACCTCTTTGCCTAATCAATCCTTGTTGGTCTCCTTTTCCTTCTGCTGTCAACAGCTGCTGGAGTAGGGTTTTCTTTTTCTTCTCTGGTTTCACAGCAGTTCACTACAGTAGAGGCTGCTGCTGTGTAATTCGATTTTTCTCCCCAAAGTGTGGCTCCTCTCCTCTTGGTCTTCCTTTTCCTTTTATTTTGAGCATGGTTCCCCTTTAGAGCTTAAAAGGAATAAGTAATCCACATAGGATGTTCCTCATTGGGTAGTCAATGACCCACTTGGACTGATGATGTGGGTTTAAAATTTCCATGTCATCCCTCATTTGTTTCCAAATTTGCTACTCCCACATGGTTTAGTATAAATGTCTGAAATTTTACCATATAACTCAATTAAATATCCAATTAAGATCGATTTATGCCCAATCATTTTTTTTTTTTATGTTAGACCGCATTTCATGCTCACTAAGTAGAATAAATGGGGTAATAAATAAGAAAATGGTGAATAAGAGTGCAATATTAACTACAAAAAGACTTGATATAACTCTACTTTTAGAGAGTTATCAGAAGTCGACTGACATCGTGTCTGCTTCAACTTCACCCGTCACTCGTGTCGTGTAGTGTAGCAAGACTAACAAGTGGTCAACTAAATTAATGAACGAGCAACTATTTCTTAGTTGCAATACCTTTCTCTTTTTTATTCTTCCTCCACTCACCTCCACGGGCAAATAGAGTCTAATACACTCTTTCTTGGCTAGTGTAGAAAACTCCATGAGAGGTCAATCAGAAGGCTCCATATAGTTCGATTGTGGGGCATAACATTGTGGTTGTTCCCATGACTGATCGAGAAAAACAAGTGAAAAAGGCATCTTCCATTCATATCGATTTAGGTTTTTCTGCACCATATTTAGATCTGCCTCTTCTTCGATCCGAAATTCCTAGTAAATCCATGACTCCTAGAATAAAATGGGATTTCACACCTGGCAAATCTTTCACTCTACCTCCTCTTGTTAACACCATAGAATGTTCCTGCAAATTATGACATTCTCCCAGAATGTGAGTAAATATATCATGTCGATTGCTCAACCGTACTTTGGCTATCTTACGTGGAGTTGAATTAGGTCTTTTTCAGTGTTCACATTGAAAGACACAGGCATACTCCTTACTTCTTGGGACATTGATTTGAAGCTCGAGTACTGTCCGTAAGCCGTTTTTCTTCTCTACCATGACGAATCAATTGACTTAATGTAAGCATCCCTCTTTCCTTTGCCCTTCCCCCCTCTTTTTGCCCTCTCACTAGTGACTACTCCCGATCCAAAGCACCCCTTTTCCATTCATAGAGAAATCCAATCGTCAAAATAAATAAAAAGGCCATCATGGACCAAGATCCAAACAGATCAATCTTGTTGAGAGGTACTGCCCAAGGAAAGGAAAAGGTGACTTCTAGATCAAGGATAATAAATAAAATGGAAACAAGATAAAATCGTATATTGAAACGACTTCTAGCATCACTGGAAGGAATGAAACCACATTCATAAGTCGACAATTTTTCTAGATAGGTTGAACTATTTGAAGCAAATGGAAAAGGAAGACCAAGTGGGATCAAAGAAACTAGTAGAATGATCACTAAATAGATATAAATAGGCACAAATTCTGACATCACCACAACCCACTTGTTGGTTCTTTCACTCCTTGATCGCGGAGCGGCGTACCGAAAAAGAAAAGAAGAAAAAGCCCATTTTGAAACCTTCACTATCAAGTTCAAGATAATGAAAGAAATTCCAATGAGAAATTTAGGAACTCAGATGAAGATAAAAAATAAAAAAAAAATAAAAAATTAAAAAAAAAATAATAAAAAAGCACTCAAACGAGGCAAGGGATCCATGTGATGCAGACCTACAATCGGATAAGGACAGATTCAATCAACCTTAGAGAGGAAAACTAGGTATTCCCACATAATCAGGTAGCCGGAATCGTGACAATTCAATCTTGAAACACACAACCACAACAATTAAATAGAAAGACTATGGCAAAAGCACAACCACATCTCCACCATGTTGCATAGCCGAAACACAGACCCAAACGCACTAGTCCCTTGATTCTCAGATTATATACCAGTTAGTTCAATGATAGGTGTTTAACAAAGCAAAATAAAGAAGGAAATACCTTCCGCATCTTACATATATGAAATTAGCACGATTTTCCCATTTTTGAACATCATTGAGATAGGTTTTCCCCGAACTATTGACTGACCCTTGTTCGGGAGGGAGAAGTTTATTCATTCAATGGAGCTTTATTTGTTTGATCTAGTAAGGAGGTGTTAGAAATAAGTCATCGCCTGACGAAACAACGGTTTATAAACAACTTGAGACATCGAGCGAAGAGCTCCAATGCGCGTATTCAGAGCTACGCGGATGCCGTAGTCGCATAAGCCGGATCAACATCATGACAACGGCATTCTGGAAACTGTTGGGCCAGCCACAATTGGTGTAATGTTTGGGTGCGTATGGCGGTACAAGAAAGTGTTGGGTAAAGGGATAGTGAAAGAGATAGGAAAAAATAAAATAGATCAAAGTTGCAATGCTTTATTATTGTTTTCTCACTCCATGCTTAAAGAGTTACACAATTCCAATATTTATAGGCTTATACACTAACTGGAAGTAGTAAATTATGAAAATCTCGATAAATTCAAACCCACTAACAATCTCCTAAAATCTTGGTAGTTTGAATACATTCAATCATATCTCAACTACTTTAAATTATATCTCAATTTTGAATACTTTGAATCATATCTCAACACTCCCCCTTGATTCAGAGTTACAGATTTCAAGTATAGAGCTTGTTTCTTTTTCTTCCTTTATGAATCTCTCGGTTGTGTTACATAGACCTCTTCTTGTAAATTTTCATCAGACTGATAAACATGTCACCACAATTTCTTACAACTCCTATGTAAATCTCCATAGAACTTTTCGTTTGGCAAGTCAACCATATCCCATGTAACATTTTCTCAATGGACTGCATCTCTTCTTTAATGGCTTTCTTCCACCCTTCTTTTTCAGCTGCTTCTTCATATTTTATAGGGTCTGAAAAAGTAAGAGCAAATTGACATGATGCATATATGTCAGCTAAAGATTTATACTTCTTTGGAGGTGTCTCATCCGAAAATTCTTCAAGAGAAGAGTTGATATTTAGTGATGCTGAAGATGATGAATTTGATAGATTTTGTGTTGCAGTAGAGGCACTAGGAAGTGTACTGGAGTTGACCCTTGTCTCTTCATCCGGAGAAACTTCAGCTGTAATCTCTTTTGAGTCATTATCTAATAGTTTTATCTTACCATGACTGGTTTTGACTTTCATTGTGCATTTTTCCACAACTTGCATCTCTTTTGTATTTCCAAGTTGCACCTTAATTCTTTGCATACCATCAAGCTCTTTGAATAAAGATTTGATGCCAATCATATGGTTTGAGCATTCGCTATCAACAAACCATAAGTTACCTTTTTTTGGATTAATATCAGTACAAATCATGAAAAGCTTTTCTTCTTCTTCATTTTCTGTTGCAAAATTCATTTGTTGATCTTTATACCAACAATCAGCTTTTATGTGCCCATACCTTCTACAATGGTAACATTGTATGACCTTCCTTATATTACTTTCTTCATTAACTGCGTTTGTCCATCATTTCTCCATCTATCCCTGTTATCATGACTATCATGGAAGCTGCGAAATCCTCCTCTTCCACGACTTCTACCTACTAAATGAATATTTTCTTTTCGTTGCCTTCGTTGTTGTCTGTCTCCTTCACTTGTAGTGCCTTTTTTTCATTTCTTTCTAATGATCTATTGATTCTTGCCTCATGAGACTGAAGCGAGCCCATTAGTTCATCAACGGAAAGTATTGATAGATCCTTACTTTCTTTTATGGCAGCCACCACATGGTCAAACTTTAGAGTTAAGCTTCTCAACACCTTTGCAACAATTGTTTCATCTGAAATTTTCTCTTTATACGTATGTGTTAAAGATCACGTATTTATTTAGATTGTTGTCAGTTAGTATCTAATTAAATCTCCGTTAGGAGTTAGATTTAGTTTTGATTTGATTTAATTTTGATTTGTTTACTGGTTTGTTACCAGATTTTCTGCAAATTTTTAGGTTGATTTTCTAAATATCTTTTTATATTCTCTGTATATATATATAAAGCATTCTTGCTCTTCATAATACAATCTTCTCATCAACTATTCAATCACTCACTATTTCACTAACAATTGGTATCAGAGCTATCTTCTAAAGGGATCTGTGATATCAAAATGGAAGGAGAATCCAGTTTTTCAACTGTCGCACCACCAGTCTTTGATGGAGACAATTATCAAATGTGGGCAGTTCGAATGGAGACTTATCTGAAGGCTTTGGATCTTTGGGAAGCAATAGAAGAGGATTACAAGGTCCCTTCACTTCCAGCAAATCCTACTGTAGCACAAATCAAATTACAAAAGGAAAAGAAGACAAGGAAATCAAAGGCGAAAACTTGCTTATTTGTCACTGTATCTCAAATGATCTTCATGCGAATAATATCTTTCAAAACAGCAAAGGAAATCTAGGATTATCTCAAGGCTGAATATGAAGGAGATGAGAGGATTCGTAGAATGAAAGTCCTGAATTTGATTAGGGATTTCAAGTTGCAGAAGATGAAGGAGTCGGAGTCGGTGAAAGAGTACTCTGACAGACTGCTTGGTTCTGTGTTAAATGATTCCAGGATCGTTGAAAAGCTGCTAGTCATTGTTCTAGAGAAGTTTGAAGCCACCATTACTACTCTGGAGAACTCCAAAGACTTGTCAAAGATTTCTCTTATAGAGCCCTTGAATGCTTTACAAGCACAAGAGCAAAGGAGGTTTATAAGGCAACAAGGGGTGATTGAAGGTGTCTTACCTATTAAGCATCAAGACAACAGCAGGTATAAAAACAAGAAAATTTTTAAAAATCAATCGACGAATGGAGATTCATCTGCCAATTATCAGAAGACAAAAGGAGGAGGTTTCAAAAAATCCTATCCACCTTGGCGCCATTGTGAGAAGAAAGGTCATCCACCATACAAGTGTTGGAGAAGACCTGACGTCAAATGCTCCAAATGCAATCAACTTGGACATGAAGCTGTGATCTGCAAAGTTAAAGGTCAGGTGAAAGAAGTAGATGCACAAGTAGTTGATCAAGAAGAAGAAGATCAATTGTTTGTTGTCACTTGTTCCTCAGGCAAATAATCAAGCGAGAGCTAGTTGATTGACAGTGGGTGCACAAATCACATGACATATGACAAGGAGTTTTTTGAGGAATTAGAGATACTGAAGTCAAGAGAGTGAGGATTGGCAATGGTGAACACTTGGAAGTCAAGGAAAACGGTACAGTAGTTATAACAAGCTACGAAGGTACAAAATTTATTCCAAATGCTTTATTTATACCTAAAATTGAACAAAATCTCTTCATCGTTGGTCAGTTACTTGATAAAGGCTATAAAGTGTTGTTTGAGAATAAGCAGTGATTGATCAAAGATGCTAGTGGCAAAGACTTGTTCAATGTTAAAATGAAAGGAAAAAGCTTTGCTCTAAATCCAATGGAGAAAGAGCATATGACCTTTGTAACGACCCGAAATTTTCTACTTAATTTAAGGTCGTTACTTTATACGTACCATAAACATTGAATGCGGAAGACTTCATTTAAATTCTATAAAACATAACCTTTAACTTAAAACACAACCATGGACTTACGTGTTTCGAAAACATCTTTAAAACGACACAACAAAAGACCCGAAATAAAATAAATAAGCGTTTAAGTTTAAAATATCCTATTATATCCTAAGTCTAAGAAAATAAATGCCACTATCCTATGCATGTGCCATGATCTCGAGTTGTGATGCCGTCGTCAGCCGTGCCTTGCCTTAACCTGAAAAATGTAGTAGCACAAGACTTGAGTATTTAAAGAAATACTCAGTAAGTGACCCCACTATTGGGGTTAAATGCAACAATCACATGCAATAAAATGATGGGACCTATCTTTCATTTCGTTTCATTTCGTTTCGTTTTGTTTCTTTTTCGTTTCGTTTCGTTTCGTTTTCCCTACGGTGTAATCCTAACAGGTAATCGTGGACGTGTACCATATACTCTACACGCAGCCCATACGTGCGAGTATGGACTCACCAGCTAGTTCGCACACCGCTGGGCCACTGTCCCTAGCCGGTAGGCATGCTCTAGGGGCCCACCGGGACCCGTTAAAACTAAAACCGTCACGACAGTGCTATACAGGGCATAACGATCGTTGTCCTGCCATTTGGATGTACGCGTCTGTACCCTCGTGATGGGATAGGGGTATCCCCCCAAATGCATGATCACACAATATGCATGAGGTCCCACTAGTCCTACAGTCATCATTTAATGAACATAACCCCGTGTCACGTTTTCATGCTTACATGTCATTCTCATTCTTATTTCGTTACATACATACATATTCCTAGTGGGGTTATGTATCATGCAATTTACCGTATTTCATATCATACAATTCATTCAGTTACAATCCAGTACTCATACAACAAGCCATAATGGTACAAGGGCCACACATCGTCACATGCATTCATATCACATCATCTAAGCAGCATAAATAACATACATTCACGTTCACATGATTTCGTACTTAAGCACAATAATCTAGCATACAATGTATCATATCATAACCAAGTCATAACGTAAACACTTCATAGTCATATCGTTCTCTAACTTACCATAACACTATCGTTCTATCAATCTATCACAAACCTATCCCTTTCTACCCATAATCTAACCGTATTCTTTCATCAATCTCTCCTATCCATAGCACTCCGGTATGTAACCTGACATTAACGTTTCATGAACGTAACTTACTTCTATCGTTACATTTCGTTTTGTGCATCCTTCTCGTATCCTATCTCAAACATATCCTTGAGCACATCATACCATAATTATTATCATACAAACCACATATAATAACATAACATAACATATAGGAAGCATATCGATCCACAACCAATTCACACATATCAATATATATGACACGTGCAGAACCACAGGGCACGTGTCAACATCAAATATAACCATGTCGATAGTAAGGTCACTTACCTGGCTAGCTTAAGTCGTTGTCACGTATATATCCTTACTGAAAATTCGATTCCAACCTTTGAAATCCAAGTCAACCGTAATAACTTACAAAAATCTCTAAATCTGTCATCTGCTTAAGTCATTTTACTTCTTCTCAAATCTGATGTTGTTTCTCTGTTTCTTTCTTTGCAGTTAGCGTAAGGGTGAGATAAGTGTGGGAAGGGATGAGAGGTTAGTGGAGAGAGGTGGGAAAGATTTTTTTTTTTTTAAATTTTAATTTTAATTAATTAATTAATTAATTTATTTATTATTATTATTATTATTATTTTAACTTTTTTTTTTATTTGTTTATTTATTTTTTGGGCTATTACAACCTTTATATCCGAGCTAGTGCCATTGAGATTGGCACAAAAGACTTGGGCACTTTCATCATTGAGGTTTGCTTCAGATGTAGTCAAAGAAGCTGGTAGAAGGACTCGCTGACATTGATGATGACATGCCTCCTTGCCGTGCTTGTAATTTTGGGAAGCAACATAGGCAACCCTTTCCTAAATGGGCATGGAGAACCTCGAAAAAGCTGCAACTGGTTCATACTGATCTTTGTGGTCCTCAGCGAACACCATCATTACATGGTAATCTTTATTACACTGTTTTTATTGATGATCTAACAAGAATGTGTTGGATTTTCTTGCTGAAGCAAAAGTCAGAAATTGCAGGTGTATTTCGGAAATTGAAAGCCAGAGTTTAGAATGAAAGTGCATGCTTGATTCAGACTATAAGATTAGATTATGGCACGGAGTACACTTCAGAAACTTTTAACAAGTTTTGTGAAGAGGCTGGAATTGAACATCAATTGGCAAAAACATACACTCCTCAGCAAAATGACGTCAATGAAAGGAGGAATAGATTTATAATGGAGATGACGAGATGCATACTTTTTGAGAAGGATCTTCCAAAAAAATTTTGGGGAAAAGCATCAAACACTGTTGTGTGCTTGCAAAATCGAATTTCAACAAAAGCTGTGAAGGACCTGACACCATTTGAAGTTTGGTATAGTTACAAACCTTCTTTAAAGTTCCTTAGAGTATTTTGGTGTCTTTGCTTCACTTACATTCCATAGGTCAAGCGTGATAAGCTTGGCAAAAAGGCAGAAGCTGACATCTTTGTTGGGTATAATACTATATAAAAAGCTTACAGAGTTTTTCAACCACACAATAGTCGTGTTATTGTGAGCCAAGATGTTCATTTTGCTCGATGAGCAATGGAATTGGGAAGAATTAACGAAGGTGAATCAAATTTCTAATGCACCAAACAATTTAATCTTTGGTAGCATGTTAGAAGAGTCTGAAGATGAATGACTAAAAGAGTCTGAAGATGAACAACAAGATGCTTTGGTTGATGATGCACTTGACAGAGGAGGAGCTTTCGAGAAAAACAAAATCTGGGAGTTGGTTGATCGACCTCTAAACAGAAAGATAATTGGAGCAAGATGGGTGTTCAAAAAAACGCTTGGAGTTCACAGTGACACAATCGCACTTTTGAAGGCAGCGGACTAGCGATTGTGCGACACTCACTTTCCAACGACAAGTGAGCTAAGCCAATTTGTTCTTGCGTCGCCTACGACCAAGCGACATATGATCGAGCCTCTAGCCTCGGTTTTAAAAGAAGGTTTTAGAAAACGAGGAGAGAGAGAGATTTTAGAAAGAAAGATTTTTGAAAGAGACGTTATATAAGCAAGCAAGAGAGAGATAACAACGGCTTAGCATATATAACCTTGGGTAGGGAGAAGTTGATAACTAGTCATATTCCCCTATAGTACATTCTGAGGCATTTCATCTCTGGCAGGCCTAGACATGATATTTTTTAGGCGTCATACGCCCTAGAACTACAAAAGTAAAAACACTAGAATGAAAATACATGACAAGGGTTTGGCTTGTCATGGGCATGCGGCCATGGGCAACACGCCCTGGACGAGCATGACCGTGACACACAGCATCTAAACAAGGAGGAGTGTTAAAGATCACGTATTTGTTTAGATTGCTGTCAGTTAATATCTAATTAAATCTCCATTAGGAGTTAGATTTAGTTTTGATTTGATTTAATTTTGATTTGTTTACTAGTTTGTTACCTGATTTTCTAAATATCTTTTTATATTCTCAATATATATGTAGAGCATTCTTGCTCTTCATAATACAATCTTCTCATCAACTATTCAATCACTCACTATTTCACTAACAGTATGCATCTGACTGACTATTGTCATTGCTCTTGAAAAAAGTCAGCAACTGATTCGCCATTCGCCATGAGCAGAGTTTCAAAATCACGTCTTACAGATTGCAATTTCATTGTTATGACCTTAGAATTTCCCTAAAACTCCTTCTGTAGAATTGACCATGCTTGCTTTGATGTGATTGCTGTTGCAATTCATGAAAAAGTCGTCTCATGAATTGCTTGCTGAATAATGAATAGAGCGTTGGCATCATTTTTCTTGGTTTCTCTTAGTCTCTCCTTTTCTTCTATTTTGGGTTCTAATACATCAACGAACCCGTGCTCCACCAAGTCCCATAAGTCCTGTGATCTGTGAAAGGTCTTCATCTTGATGCTCACCACTCATATTTCTCACCATTAAAAATTGGTAACAGCGGTGCAAAGGAAGAAAAACCAACTACTGTCATTTTTGTTTTGTGAAAAAATATAATCACTCACTCTCGTGTTGACAAGAACTTTGCTCTGATACCAAATTTGTTGGGGAAAGGGATAGTGAAAGAGATAGGAAAAGATAAAATAGATCCAAGCTATAGTAATTTATTATTCTTTTTTCACTCCATGCTTAAAGAGTTACACAATTACAATATTTATAGGCTTATACATTAACCAGAAATAGTAAATTATGGAAATCTAGATAAATTCAAATCTACTAACAATCTCCTAAAATCTTGGTAGTTTGAATACTTTGATTCTTATCTCAACTACTTTAAATCATATCATAATTTTGAATACTTTGAATCATATCTCAACAGAAAGCCCCTACTCCTAACAAGAAAAAAAGGGTTTCGTCGTCTTTTTCCCACTTTCACCTTCGATTGCGAAGCAATTTGAGACCGATTTTCAATTCGCTTCTCTCTCTCCGGCGAGGTGTGAACTTCACGTGGTGGGAAGACCTTCGAAATTCACATCTTCCTATCCAGGAAAGAAAGTGAAAGGGACCGGACAGCAAGTTGGAGGACGCTGTGGAACCGCGTGATTGATCCATGCCACGTCTACAATAAATAGAGAGAAATAGGAATAACCAAATCACGTCTACAAAATGTCAATACCATGCAGCTGCTTCAAAGCAACGTGATGCTCCTTGGTCCGATGACCAAGATATTGGCGAATACCACATATGATCAAGAAAAGAGTACCTATAATCACATGAAAACCATGAAAGCCAGTTTCTAAGAAAAAGGTAGAACCATAAATACTATTCAAAATAGTGAAGGGTGCTTAATAATATTCCATTCCTTGAAAGCATGTGAATACTAGAGCCAGAGAAATAGTAACTACTAAAGCATAAACTGCTCGCTTTTCCTTTCCCGCGAGTATAGCATGATGAGCCCAAGTTACGGCAGCTTCGGATGAAAGAAGAATAGGGGTATTAAGAAAAGGGATTTCACGAGGATCTAAAACCCCAATCCCTTTTGGGGGCCAAATACCTCCGATCTCTACCGCGAGTGGCCAAGAAGAATGAGAAGAAACCCGAAAAGAAAAAAAAAGCAAAAAGGAACATAACCTCCGATACGATAAATAGAATAAAACCATATCAGAGTCTTAATTATATGACTTTGGTACGATGTCCTTCCAACGTGGATTCACGTAGAACATCGCGCCACCATACGAATATGGTATATAGGATAAATATAAGGCCCAAAGTTAGAAGTGTTGCACACCCTTGAAATGAGTGCATGTACATCACACCTCCTACGGTGGTTGCGAAAGCTCCGAGTGAACCCGAAATGGGCCATAGACTGATTACCAAATGAAAAGAATTCTTCTGAGATTCAATCATAAACCACTTTTCCTCGGTTGTATGTAAACCCCTCCTTCACCCCCGCTAAAGTGGTAAAGAAGGGTTGGGGTCTCATTTTCTTTCTATCTAACAGGACAAAAAAATATATGAAGCGATGGTTCTTTAATAGCGGGTTGGTTACACCTACAACCGAAATGGAAACAGAGCGTTTCGTGGTTTAAAAATTTTGAATCTCGTCTCAATTATCATTTGTCAGGACTATTTAGAGTAAGTTCCTTGGCTTGGAAAGGCCATTTAATCCATGTCGCTATTCCTACATCCAGGCAGCTCGACTCCTCGAGGAAAGGGCTAAAATGGCTTCACTGGAAGGGAAAGGGTAGGGGTTGGAAAAGGGGATTTTGGTGAAAGCGCTAGAAAGAGGAAAAAAATGATTGTACACCATCAAGTATCTAGTTGCAGGGGGGACTGATTTCTGTAAAATTCGGGTAGATAAGTAGCGAGAGGAGAAGAGGAGAGGGAGAAGTAACCTTCATTTTCTATGGTTTCCCTGATCAAACTAGTAGTTACCAAGGAACCATGTATAGCACTGAATAGAGAGCCGCGAATACATCAGCTACACCTAACATGTGGAATGGGTGCATAAGGATATGTATTGTCATGTTATTAAGTATTTTAATTTAAGTTCTTTTCTTTCTAAGAGGTGGAATAGAATAACCTAGTTAAAGCGTAATGATCATATGTCTATAATGCATTATATGTCCCATAATAGGTCCCATTCTTCTACCTTTTTAGGGGAGTCGATGACTATTCATAGCTATGACCTTGACACCAAAGAAATTGTTAATTACACCAAAGAAATCCATTTTTTTTTTCACGAGGTAGAACTTCAAATTCATATTTATTACTGAATCGACCATAGACCAATTCCCCTTTTATTTCTTCATGGAGAGTCAGAGTCGAAAAGAGGATTCCTCACTTCTTTCTCTTATTCAAACCCGTGCATGAGAATTTCATATCGCACGGCTCCTAAGCTAAGTGATAAAAGAAAGAAGAACTCATCTTCTAAAGAAGGTGAGGAAGTTGGGAGTACTTTATACTCAAAGTTGTATAACGTTTGACTCTAAAGGTGGACAAAAAGAGGGGCAAAGCTTATACCTGTAGACTTTGAAGCCAATTGTCATCCTCCTTTTAAAACATAGCATCCCTCACTTTTTTGATTCATATGCATCTCAAAAACGACCAAGTAAGGGTTAACATTGTGTAGTCGAGAATAGAGTGGTAACAGCTAATAGCTAGCCTATTCACTCAACCTTCTTCAAAGAGCTTCTCTTTTTCCTTTTCCTTGTTTTGTGTGTTAGATTCCATATTACTAGCACCTAGAAAAAATCTTAAAGTGGAAAGCCTTCTCCTCCATCTACACAATCTTCCCATGATCCAATTTCATCAGCCCTATTGATGTTATTGCTTCGACCCATATTCCCCAAAAAGTGGATCCCGCTCTAATAGCTTCGAATAAATTAAATACATGCATTAAAATACGAAGACTTCTTATTCCACAACAACGAAAGTACTTTTTCACTCTTCCATATACTAGGGGATCCAATTTGGTCAAATACCTAGCGACAAACTCCTATCTTCCTTACATTACCGTATTTCTAAACAAGTTTTCGGATAACAACCCTAAGGGTTTTCTTATTGATGATAGTGACGATATGGATGATAGTGACGATATTAATGATAGTGGCGATATTGATGATAGTGGCGATACCGAATCAAACTTTTTTCTTTTATTTAATTTTATCATTATCTATATGATAATATATGTATGCAAGATATATTAAGGTTGCATTTAGTTTGAAAATAAACGCTCTTAGTTCAATTCGGTAGAATGTGGGTCTCTAAAACCCGATGTCATAGGTTCTCAAATCCTACAAAGCATGATTCCAAACAATCATGATCTGGATGTGAATGCGTTGAAATAATTATCCCTTGATCTTCCCCCAAGAGCTCACATCGACGGGAAGGTTTGGTGCCACACCTTCGTAACTCGTTTACATGTGGTTGTTCCACTACAAATTCAAGGAAAGAGGATTTGAATTGACGAAAAAATAATTTTTTTTTGGAGAATCTAATGGATTCACATATCTCCATTAGAAATACTCTAACACTCAAAACTAGGTTCTACATTTATTCACTTATCACCATTAGAAATACTCTTACACTCCACCGTTGTCATACATTCCATACATCACACTAGATAGATATCATATACATGGAATATGATTCACTTTCAAGACGTCTTGGTAGTGAAATGGTAGACACATGAGACTCAAAATCTTGTGTTAAAGAGCGTGGAGGTTTGAGTCCTCGAGAACCCAACCCACTACCATCCATGATCCCAGATGAGGGAACCTAAACCACTATTGATCCTCCTCTTAAGGTTCTCGCAAAAGAGAATTTTTTTTTTCAATTAAATTAATAAATACATAAATACCTTTAGGCTCGCCCACTACCAACCTCAAAATGTAGGGATATTCGGACACCCACCTAGCACCCGCTCCACTCACACAATTAATGTAGTGGGAAGCTACCCGCTTGAAAGAGCTAAAAGCACACCTCTCCTTCACCTGAACCTCTCCCTCTCAGTCAAGTTGCTTCACTCCTCTCTGTCTTAGCTGAACTAGCTTTGTTTTATTCCCTGATTGAACTCGAGTTTCACTATTCTTTCACGAGGTAAAGTGTCTTCCCTAGACAAAGGGAGTGATGGTGTTAATATAACACGTGCGGAAGAAATTTGGATCTTAGGCACTCTTAAGTACATCAATTATAGTAAATTAGCTAGCATGTTCAAAAGCATTAAAACTTAATGAGTTTGAATACTAGTCTTTTGTAGTTCAAATTTCTTTTTTCTCACGAACCGGTTTCGAACCACCACTAGTGTCTTCCCTACTATTCTCCGGCCTTAGAACGAGATTGTGGAACCCGGTGAGTGACTAAACTGGATAGGAATTTAGTATATCTAAAGAGAGAGTTTTGAGAGATTTTCTCAAAGTTTTTCAAGAAGAACTTTCATGTACCTTGATCACTCTATTTATAGAGTCATATTTGCATGTTCATCCAAATTTGAGATTACCAAATTTTGACACTCAAATTTCCCCTCAGATGAGTGGGATTAGGTGGGAAGCAAGCAAGTTTGAGTTGACCAAATTTTGACCCTCAAAATTCCCCTCAAATTTGTGGGGTTTATTTGGCAAGCATGCAAATGCAAGTTTGGTTAAACCAAATTTTGACACCTAAAATTTCACTAAAATTTGTGGGATTACATGGCAAACATGCAAGTTTGGTTAAATCATATATTGACACTCAATACTCCACTAACTCAAACGTTGATTTTTCCATTAAGTGAAGTCAACTTTTAATTCAACAATTAATTTAAATAATTAATTTCAAATCAAAATAATATTAAATAATTAATTAAACAATTTAATTAATATTTAACATTAAATCAAATGTCAATCCCAATCAATTCACACGTTGATTATGAATCCCTATTCATAATTAAAATATTTAAATCTTATTTAAATATCTCTCATTCTGTTATTTTGTTTAATTCGTAATTAAATCAAAATGCTATATCGTATATATTTAGCACATATTCCCTAATTTGAATTTGAACACTTCGAACTCATTCATCACATTGTTCTATGGTTGAGTCTGATATGAGCTAGCAGGGGGACCTAATGGACCTACAGATCATGGGCTCCAACAATCCAAGATTAACCGGCTAAACTCATTAACCTTGTTAACCAACATTCGTTAACTACTAAGACACTCCACTATAGCCTAGTACTTGCATTCCCCTCACTATTGATATATTTCTGTTCATTTGATATAACTATGAATAGTAAGTCAATCCTTCACAGGTTGTTCGTAATTAGAGCTTGGTCAATTTACCGTCTTACCCCTAAAGTTACTTCTTGTTCCTTAAGTCTCACTAGTTCTCTAATGAACAATTGGTTTGTGGTCCAACCATCAAACCGAATTCCTCTCAAGCCAATGAGAGGGTGGGGCCCCTTGTTCAAGACCTGGAGTCAGTACTTAAGGGAACAACCTCTCTACTATCCCTAAAAGCAGGTAGGAGCGAATTCCATCTTACACCCTATGTCCCCAGCTATTCACCCAGTCTTACCCCTAAAATTGGAGGCTTATTGAGTCGGTGAACTCATGCCACTCTCACCCATGCAAATCTAAGGATAATTCTGAATAAACAGAAGTTCATAGTTAGCTCAGGATTAAGATCGAGTTACCTAGGTCATCGAATGAAAAAATCAGTCTCAACAGTAAACGACATTATAAAGTGAGAATGGTTTTCTTCATGGTCCGATCTTATGCAATACTCATTGCATAGGACGCCCCCCACTCACATGTCTCCACATGTACAATTTAGTGATCACATTGTTTATATCATATACAAAAGTAGGTCGCATCCATAGTGTCCCCAAAATAAGGTACTTAGCCTTATCCCTGTACTATAGATCATTTTGACTATATACTTGAACTTGATTCACTCTTATGTCTCTACATATAGTTCAAGTAATCATACTATAGCTAGAGTGTTCTTAGTTTATTGGATTTAGATTAATGATCGTAAAATTCACTTTATTCAATAACAATCTTTAGTGAATAAACATCAATAATAACTTTATTGAAAACAGAATATGTTTTTGTTTACAAACTATGAGTTTTAGAACATAAAACCCAATAGGGAGTAGGTTGAGTAAGCAAAAGGAGACTCACCAAACGTAAATGTAAACTCATTCACGTGTAAATTTCACAATTTCACAATTCCATTGGCTAAACCTGATTGAACAAAGATTTGCTCCGGTAAAAGAATGAAAGAAGAAGAAGAAGACAATTCTTTCACTCAATAAAGCAGCTAATTCATTTACTCGACTCTAAACAAGGGTTTCACTATTTTACGGTCTCTTATCTTTTCTTTCCTTTGATTCTGCTTGAAAGACGAAACAAATGAAAGAAAGATCAGCTGTGAGATAAAGAATATGAGAGGGGAGCGCAACTACTCGGCTATAGTGGAGTGTCCTAGTAGTTAACGAATGTTGGTTAT